CTCGACATTGTACCATGGCACGTTGCCCTTGCCAGTACATTCAAGAACACCTTCGATTTAAGCCTCACAGTAAATTCAGCTTTAAGGAATTGTTTGTTTAGGTAGAGTTGCATTTGTTTCCTTAGTTAGGTGTTAATAATTGCTGTAGGAAACTGTTACCTATATACATTTATTTAAAGATAGTATGTACATTTGAAATATAAGGTTTAGGTTACAGTTTTTCAAATGAGTTATCTTAAAGTTTATTTAACAACATCCACTCATATCTGTAATTTGGGTAAGCTCATGTAAGTCAGAAAAAAAAGATGACTTTTTAGCATCAATGTCATTGGCTTAAAAAGCTTACGATTTAACCTATTTTCAGTGGGTCACAGGCTGCTCAAAATTGGTGGGTGGAAATTACCAATGATTTCTTCAATGACTGTCCAAAATGTTGCAATTCTAGTTCAAAACGAAACCTTTATCTCGTAAATATAAAAAGATAGATGTTAAAAGTGCCTAGCGTGCTCTCATCGGGGTCGTGAATGTAATGGATTATCAGTTTATTCTAAATTGAGTTGGAGACCTGGGGGAAGGCAGCCAAAAAGTGTAGGGCAAGTGTACTAACAAAGTAACTACTTGTAAAAGAAAACTTGTATTTGATGAAAATGACAATATGGATTTTATTGATAATAATGTTTTGGTCTTAATTAAAGATAGTGATGATGACAAGGAAAGTGAATACATCATGAAAGAACGTAAAAAAATATATATAATATCAGATATGTTTTTGGCATAAATTGTTCTTTGACGAGACCCTCCACTGCCACAGAGGTATGTCTGTGGACTTACAATGCTAGAAACCAGGTTTCTATACCCATGGAAGGTAGAGCACAGATAACCCATTGTGTAGCTTTGCGCTTAACTTGAAACAAACACGATCTTTGACAAGAAATTTATCTTATCAAGTCGAAGATCACGTGAAAGTGGATCCTTTAATTCTATTGATGAAGCAAGTTGTATAACTACCTTCAGTATTTCAGTACTAAAGAAAATATGCTTCATTTATATTCTTATTCAATGATACAGACCAATTATTGCTTGATATAGTAAAATAAATTTTAAAAGATAGCAGAGAAGCCAAAGAAATGATAGCTAGGAATGAGTTAAAGAAAAATTAAAGTACAATCAAAATTTTGACTGTATTCTGTCAAGTGAAGGGTGTTATTAGCTCCATTGTGTGCTTCATCACAAAATGAAGAAATTTCCTGATTGTGTAAAAACTATATCAAAACCCAGTAGACTAGCTAATGTTTCAGCTTGATACAGTATCTTGAGCTGTTCACAGTTGTAGTGCTAGTTAACTAACATTCCTTACACATAGTGAATATTTGCTCATACGTCTAGCTTTATGTAGCCGTATCTTCATCTATACTTAATATTTCACTGTTAAAACGAGCTGTGAAACCCTTATTGTTACTTTCAGTTAGTTTCATTTCAGCAATAAAATCCCAAGATTGATCTTTGGTGATCCTACCCTAAGTTCAAAATGTTACCCAATTTGCACGTATAACGGGTGTTAAATTAGAATAATTTTTAGTTATTTTCCTAAAAATGTTAACAAGGTAACTTAAGAAGTTGAATTTTCAGTAAGGTCTAGAAGTGTGGAAATAGATAGTATTGTAAATAAATTGAGATGCAAAAGAGCTGTTTTTATTAAAATTATTTTAAAACATATAAAAAC